GCAAGGAGAGATCTTTCAGCATGATATCAGTAGCGCTACTGAAGAAGGAACATTATTATTTGGAGAGTTGAATGCAGTCTTCACGCATCGGCTGGTCATCAAATTTTCTTCGTTTTTCCTTGAACTCATATTTCTATTAAAGGCCCGTGTGCTCAGATTGGGGTTCACGTTAAAGAACCCCAGGTGGTCAAAATTTCCGGAGCCCTCCACTACGGCGTCTCTCATAATCATATGGCGGTTTTGGGACGGTAAACCCCACACATCAATGAATCAGTTCATATTTCGTTGCGGTGAAATAAGACTCGTTGTTGTCAGTCAGCGCTTGCTCTTGTTTCTTCTTTCGACGTTCCGTTGTAGTGTTCTTTATCCGATGTCTCGCATATGGCAACAAGTCTACGTTAACACTCCATGTGAATTTAGCACCTTTATTCATAGCACGTGTGCTCCAATTGATTCAGAGATATTCTGAGAAAACTAAAATAGCTATGCAGTATGTATGCGGATTTCCGGAAAAAAAAGCTGTAACGGTTACAAAAAGCCCTTAACTATAGAAATACACTTGGTAGAATGCATCTACAGTGAGAAAGGTACAAGAAAGACAGAGAGGTTAATCAGAGTGTAGGTGTTAGTTTTACTTGCTGGAAATATGTTGTACACGGGTACAAATAGGTGCACAAAAAGCCTACGTTTTCACCTTTCCCTTGCTTCATCGTTGGTTGGGCTACAATAAGTAACCAACCGCACTGGCTATACAATTGCAACTTCACGCTTTCATTTTCAACGTCCGGCTGGACTAAATACCGCCTTACTTTACGGTGTGATGTTTAAAGCTCACAGGAACTGCGACTTGGGCCCATTGGTGTATAGTTGGGGGGCCAAAAGATCGATAGCAAAGCAGCCAAAAAGTATGGACCTGAAGCACACACGCAAATAACGTGCACATTATGTGCTCCCATTCTCTCTCTCTCTCTCTCTTAGAGTGCGTGTGTGTGTGTTCCCGAGTTCTTGTGTCGGTGTCTCGTTAACTGTTCTCTAGATAGTCTTGCCTCATCTGCTGGTATAAAATAGGTTGTGTCCGAATAGCATCTTTTAGTACGCGATCATCTGCATACCTAGAACTCGCTTTTTTACAAATTATGAAGATAAATTACACACATTTCGCTATGCCTGAATTTCTATTCCTATAGTCTACGAAAGCGCAATGAATTATGCTTGTATCCACGAGAGATTCAAGAAATGGTGAGACTTGTTATTAATGCAGTGGCACATGCTCTGTCCTGCCACCCTCTAATATAAACCAACTGGAGCGAAAACTTCATGCAATGAGACTCTATGCCCGGAGAATAATTTTCTAAACAAAGGAAGTAGTATGGACTTTACTTGCAAAATTATAAACATCACTGTACCAATCCAATGCAGAAAGACTGGAGAATGAATTCTGTTCCAAGATACCATAAAAAGTGCGTATAGCGCAACCTTAGGAACCTTATGTGTTTCACCTTAGGGCACAATCTTCAAGCGCACCGCGTTTATACTTCGATATGACTGTGCAGTGCACCTCATTAAAAAGATAGAATACCGGCGTAAAGGAAAGGAAGTAAAAGGGAAAATGCGGGTCGTTTTACGAAATCTCGAAATATGAGACGGAAAGATTTCTTGTGACAAGGGACACAATTTGGCCGTGGCCTAAAAACTTTCACCATGCATCCCCTTCAAACTTGTTCAAGCACGTATTTGATAAAATGGCGGCATTGTCCATGTAGCATGTTGCAGCAGCAGCCCGTAAGATGAAATGCGAGTGACCAAGATTCAGTTCTTAGAACGCTTCTGATTGTTACTCGTGCATATACCTTGTTATTTTCATCTGTGTCGTTCTGTTCCTCTCATAATCCCTTTTAAATTTCGCTCTATGGGCCTTTCATTCCTTCAAACGAGCTGCCAGACTCGTTTTAAAATAACTTGCTTGCGGCACCTCTTGTGCTTCTTGAATTTTCTTCGCGTTTATCTCAGGTTCACGTAAGAGAAAAGCCTGAAATATTCAAACGGATTTGTCTCTTGCTCTCATTTTTGCCTATCATGAACAGCGGTCATCTCAAGTTTCTTGCAAGGAACAGTTATGTGCCCGTTAGAGCCTGCAGTTTTCTTTTTAATCTCTTGTGCAACGAAGCAGATCTTTCTCGTTCTATTAGTAAAAGAACACGGACTGAAAAATTTATTTGAAGCCCTCTTCCATCTGCGCCCCTTGGAAGAACGACAACCTTTTCGCTTAAGCTATCTTCACTTCTTTTAATTTTCAGGCCCAGCTTCAGGGTCTCTACTGACAAACATACATTTCTCACTCTATTCACTTGACGATATCCTATACCGTCTTCAATGTCTCAGACGTAGCATTGTCGGATTTCATCACTCTTTCAAACGAAATTACTCCATGCTGGCGACAAACGCCAAACTGCATGATCTGTTGCTTGTTGTTTCGGGAATGCGCATGCGTACAAGTACTAGTTACGCCTCAGGCGGTAGCTTATATCTACCAAAGGACGGAAGGAGCAGAGACTTAACCATGTAATGCCCGCTGTATCACATTTGGTACAGTGAATATAATACCTGAACAAAGCTACTATTGGTGTAGTGTTAAGCAGCCATTGCTGATTTAACATGGTATAAAAAGTTGCATAATATGCAATATTAACTAATTATTCACGTATCTTAATAATTAGGTTATGTGCCAAACGTAATTTCGTATTTTTCATAAAACGAACTGTACAAAAACAGAAAAAGCAGAGTTTTCTCGCAAGTTTTTTCAAGCAATAACCATTTGTGCGCATTTTATTGTTAAATGCAAGAATGTGGGCAATTTCAATTTGAGAGTATTAAGATGAACTGACATTGGCAGTGTGGGCCCAACTAATCCAGTCGGAAAGTATTAGGTTGTCAGTATGAATCGAACACAGCTATCCTGTATAAAAATCAGATATTCTACTGCACAGCCACGAAAGGTCTTGCAAATGCTTTGGAAATGAGCGTACGAAGGCGTCATCTTGGTAAAAGGTCAATTGTTGTTGCAGTGCTGCATATATAATTTATAGACATTTCATATGTTCTCGTATAAAACAGGTGGTACGTTTAATTAGCGTCTCTTTATTACTTAGGCGCCATCCACCAAATTAGTTTATGAAGCATTAGCCCTTGCTGCTATCCTCGCAAGCACAAACACAACATATCAGCTTATGTCTTCTGGTGTTATTAATGCCCCAGTTACTTTTGCCATCGTTACACAGCTGTAAACGGGTTATGGAAAGCAAGTGCGATGGTTCAACATGTGTGAATGTATTATATTTAGACATATTATTATCGTTATTCTGTAACGATTCACGCAGTAAACAAATTGCACCACTATCTCTTTCCCTCCCGACTTTTTTTAACATCTCTTAACATCTCATAACATCAATTTCTATCGTACGTGGAATCTGCCGGATTTTTTTTTTTTTGACCTGAAAATTGCTGTAAAGGCAATGTGCCATTTTTTACTGTGTAATGAAGGAACAACCATGTTTTCAAATTGTTTTCTCGTCTTGAACCTATATTTGTAGACTTCGAGGTTAACGGCCATTCACTTTCACACTCGTATAAGATGCAGAAGATAATAAATGTGTGCACTTATTCTCCTATTTGGTGCAGCAGATAATAAATGTGTTTTTGTGATGTGAGGTTTTGTTTTGTTTACCGACCTCCAGTGCATCGTATGCTCTGTAGCCCCCCCCCCCCCCCCCCCCCAGCCCGTCAAAAAAAAAACCCTTGAATTGCAACTTTGAATGTATTAGACGACCTAGTGCGATCACTCACAGTGCACAATACATTGGACAACATTTTGCGGCAAAGTGACACCACGTAGAGAATGACAATGTGACTCTGGTAGAGAACGTGACAGTTACCCAGATGACATCCCTTTTATTCATGTGTTTAAGATTTTAAGTTTAGGCACTCATCGTCTTTTTAGCTGTGAACCAACGAAGGCTTCACTCATACCAAAATTTCTCCGACATGAACTTTTTAACGCTATCACGTTCAAATCTTCACCGATAGCGTAGAGCGAGTAATCCCATAGTAAAATAGATGGAGAAGTCATTCGGTTTTGGGCCTATTGATAAATACACAACGTTAGATCATTAAGAGTGTCGCCAAAAGGTATTGTCTAGTACCATGAAATGAATGAGTTTTACAGGAAATTTATTACGCTTGCTCTTGATTCATATAGGTAAGTGTATCGTACTGCCTCTACCCATTCCTGTAATATTAGCTATCAAAGATGTTTTAGAAAGTCGTAGAAATAATAAATATACTTCATTCAGACATTAGGTCAATGTTAACTTGTGTATATCTTTTTTCCTGTGAAACTGGCCCTTTTATTGTCCTTGATATTTCCCTAAATAATTGAAGCTTATGTTGGCGCCGTGCTTTATCACGCTGTAACACTTGTTTGTTTTGCCTTACGCTCCACTCATCGTTGATTTTGTTGGTATTGCCTTCGGTAGTTCAAGTTATTGATCACTGGTATGTAGGCCGAAGCGTCTTATAAATATTCATGTTTATTACTATACAGTGCTGAAAAAATGTACCATAACAAGTAAAAAGAGAAAAAGAAGGCATAAGTTGGCGTTGTTGTATCTGAAATATTGCAAAAAAAACCATAGAACTTGCGGAACACTCATACTTACGTCTTCACGTAGGTGACATTATGATACCGGTACGTTGTCGAAGCGTACTTGAGCTACACGACGTATACATGCATACACGCACATAGTAAAGAGAGCAAAAGGATCGGCAAATTAAAATTTTGGCTAATATCATTGACGTAATAGAAATAGAAGCATTATAACGTTATAAACAACGAAAATTAAAACAAGAAAGTGGACTTGTTCTCACATATCAAAGCGCACAAGTGGCCTTGAGCACTGAAACTGCGCCTGGTCCACTCAGCTGGAGCAAAGTACGTGGCATCGCTAGGACAAGGTGGAATTGCCGTAACTCGGCGTAGAAGACGACGCATGCACAGTGAGATGAGTGTTCACGTGCACGTAGGAGCGCAGCTCTTCTTCTCGAACGGCCGATTTGTCGCCCATGTAGTAAAGCAACGCATAGGCCATGGTGAGAAACCCCGTGCCAAGGAAGTCGCCGCAGCCCATCAAGCAGGGGATGGCCGCGTTGTCCGGGTCGACGCCCCAGTTCCAGAGGTGGTACACGATGAGGCGCGCCAAGTACAGCAATACCAGCACCTTCATAATTCGAGTAAGTGTTGGTTGCTCCGGCATAATATTACTAGTTGCAGTCGCACGTGTCAAAGCCCCAACATAATTATCAGGCATGTCGTAGTAGAGAGCTTCAGAAATTCCGACACCGCCACCCGCCAAGGTGGACTAGTCGCTAAGGCACTCGGCTGCTGACTCGCAGGTCGTAGGATTGAATCCCGATTCCGGTGCCTGCATTTTCGATGGAGGCGAAAGTTCTGTAGGCCTGTGTGCTCAGGTTTGGGTGCACGCTAAAGAACCTCAGGTGGTTTAAATTTCCGGAGCCATCTACCACGGCACCTTTTATATACATATGGTGGTTTGGGGCAATCAATCCTACATATTATCATCATGTGATCAAATCCCAGCCCCAGCGGTCATAATTCGACAGACGCCCATGTGCTTGAGGCCCATGTGCTTGAGGCCAATGTTTGAGGCCCATGTGCTTTAATTTAGCGGAACGTTCTAGAACCCCAGGTGGTAGAAACTTTCGGAGCCATGCTCTATGGTCTCTCGCTTATTCATACAGTGTTTTTGGGATGTTAAGCCCACACAATTATATTGTGGGTAATTTCAGTAACGAGTACCGGCACCTGTTTTGTCACAGCACCAACACTTTCGCCTACCCTGTCGCAGACATTGCTGAATGTTTCACACCTATATCAGTCGACGACGAGCTTCGACCGACATTAAGTGACGTGACTTCGTTACTTGCCAGAGTTAATGTCAACTTAACCCTCTCGGAACAGCAACAGACTGAATTACGTGAACTGCTATATAAAGTTAAAGAGTGCTTAGCATCCAACTCGAAGGTTCGTCAAACACTGATCCCCAAACACCGAATAATTGCGTATACCAACGCCTCATCCATGAAACAACACCCTTACTGCGTTTTGGCAAAGCAACGAGAACTGATTAATGCTCACGTTGAAGAGATGCTGCAAGAGGGCGTTATCCAACCATCCAAGAGTGCTATAGTCATCTCCGGTTGTTCTCGTAAAGAAGAAAGATGGATCACTGTGCTTCCACGTAGACTACAGAAAACTACAGTGTGACTGAAAAAAAAAAGTCTATCCGCTGCCCCGCATCGATGATTCCCTCGACCGACTGCAGTAGGCTAAGTATTTTTTCATCGATATACTTGAAAAGTGGCTACTGGCAGATCGAAGTCAATGAACGACAACATGAGAAAACCGCCTTCGCTACATCGGATGGCCTATATGAATTCAAAGTGCTTCCTTTCGGCCCCTGTTCTGTATCTACGACATTACAAAAAATTATGGACACTGTTCTTGCCGGTCTAACGTGGCACACGTGCCTACTTTATCTGAATTAAAGTTTCGCGTTTTCTGCTACCTTTCAGGAGCAGATGAAGCGTCTGCAGGCAGTGCTGGAAGCGCTTCGCTATGATAACCTGCAGTTGAAGCCAGAAAAATGCCACTTCCGTAATAAAAAATTGACGTTTCTTGGCCATGTTGTCAGTGTGGACGGTCTTTGACCAGACCCTGACAAAAGCTCCGCCGTGACCTCGTTTCCTGTTTCACGTAATAAGAAGGCAGCAAGTCAGTTTCTAGGGGTCTGTGCGTATTATCGCCGCTTTATAGCCAATTTTTCCAGGATTTCTGAACCACTCATTCGACTCCTTCGTGAAGACGTGTACTTTGTCTGGGAGGAAGAACAGGACGCAGCTTTCTCTGAACTACGGGAACATTTGCAGACACCGCCAATTTTCGCTCACTTTCACTAAGATGCTGATACTGAGATTCATATTGACTCCAGTAACAGGAGTCTTGGTGTTGACCTCGTCCAACTACAAGAGGGCACGGAGCAAGTGATCACACTCTTTCCCACCCGACGTAAACTACTCCACGTCAGAAAAAGGGTGCCTAGCTGTTGCATAAGCCACGATGAAATTTAGGCCTTACCATTATGGACGCCTCTTCAAGGTAGTGAACGACCATCATTCGTTGTGCTCGTTAGCCAACCCTACGGGACCCATGCGGGCGACTGGCGCGATGGCGTCTTCGTCTGCAGAATTTCAATTTCACGATCACTTTCAAATGCGGCCGCAAGCAAGAAGGTGCCGATTCGTTGTCCCACGCACCTGTCGAAGTTTGTGGCCCACGACAAAGAAGACGACGGTAGTTACTACACTACCCTTACTACAACCGACCTGATTACACGACGAAATACGCGCAGTTATCAAAAACTTGAAAGATGTAACTGTTCCATACCTCACTGTATTTCTCGAAGTCTGTCGTCATTCTGCCTACGAGATGGGGCCCTGTATAAGAAAAACTCCAACGGCAATGACAGAACTCATCTTCTAGTCGTGCCAACTGACATGTGTGACGACATCCTTCTCGCCTGCCACGATGAGCCCACATCTGGTCACCTACGTTCTTCTCGAACTTTCGCTCGAGAAGCGTACTACTGGCGTAAGCTTTACGCATCATTTAAGCGATACGAGAAAATCTGCCGGGATGGTCAACGCCGCGAATTTTCGCCACTGAAGCCCGTGGGGCTTCTTCAACCAATCGAACAACCTAGGGTGCCATTCGATCAAATAAGAATAGATTTACGTGGGCCATTTCCGCTGACATCTGCCGGCAACAAGTGTATCATAGCAGCCACAGACTGTTTTACGAGGTACGCTGAAACAAAGGCACTACAGCGCGCTACAGCAGCAGCATAGTAAAAAGGGGCGTGCATGGGCTTCATAGCCTTGGCCGTGCTGACACAGAAAGTTGTCGCAGAGTATAGTGAACACTCTTTCAACCCATTCATCTGCGATATAGGGGACACCAGAAAGCTAGCTGCTGCGCCCGCCAGAAGATTCGCCTCAGTGATTTGGCCTAACCCGGGCGTTGTTTGGCGTTGCGAGGGTTAGCAGGGCCAATCGCGTTCGTGAATAGCGACGTCGCACCTGCAACACCGACAAGACGCGGGCCAGGGAAGCTGAATTCAAGCGTCGGAAGTGGAAGATCAACGATAACAGTGCGAGAATAGAGGTGTGCTAATAACACCGACGAGACGCAAGCCAAGGAAGCGAAGTGCAAGCGTCTTCAACACGTCGGCAACACCGACGAGTTGCGAGTCAAGAAAGCCAAGTGGAAGCACCGACAGCGGAGGCCAACGCTGAGGAATCCTCGACGTCGTCGTCATTTGGCGACGTCTCGAATGCGTCACGCGCCCTCCACTGAAGCACCCACCCGCAACTGCTGGGTTCCGCCGGGCGACAGGAGGCGACGTGTAAAAACGATCAGGACCTTCTCGAAAACACTACTGGTCCGAGTGCGTTGCCGTGCGCATCGGTGACGTCTCAATCCTCGTGCTCTACGTCACTCCCAACCTGCCGAAGAAGTGGTTTCAGCGCTGTCTGGTGGAGATGCTGACTGATTGAAGCGAAGCGTGTCGATGTGCGCCTCTTATATTCGCGGGAGACGTCAGTAGAGGAAGACGAGAATGGCTCGTCGATTACATGCTAGACGTGCACTCGCTGAAGTGCATGTCGGCGGAATGGAAATTACCCACCACGATAAAAAGGAATGCGCATCGATCTGGCCTTTGCCAACTTCGACGCAGAATGTCTGCAGGAACCTCTCAGCGTGCACTTCACCGATCACAAGGCGGCGATCATCAAGGCGAAATGCGCGCCTGCTCCGGTTTAGCGCCCGTGTCCACTCTGAAGAAACGACCAGACCGACGCCAGCCATCGCTTGAAACGAATCTTGCAGTGCTCACCGCAGCACCCGTGTCAGCGCCTTTGAATCCGTCACGCCACACGTGCGCAGCGCTTATGCTTCGCACCCCTTCAGGATTCTGTTCAGAGAGCTGGTTCAAACTTTTCAATATTATAAATTCGAATCCCTTGTGCTTCTTCAACGTCCACCTAGAAATAAATACATTGGCTTATAGCTTTCCCACCTCCATCGCAAATGGGGCCGATGCAGAGGGGATAGGATCCCGAGACCTCCTGCTGACACTCGAACACCATAATTATTAGAGCACCGTGGCGGGACTCAGATAGGACAGGTGCTATTACGAAAAGTGGCTAAACAGTCTCTACAACGCTTTGTTGGCCGATTGGTGTAGTTAGTTAGGAGCAATAACGTCGACTTATAATTTATACCTGCATTTAGGAATTTCCCCCTATGTTCTTCACAGCATTTCCTGTCGACATTTTCATTACAATAAGCTTCCAGAGTAACCGTGGCTCTCGCGGCATTTTAGGTACCACTACTTCAATAAAAACGACTTGATTCCGTAATACATTGCAGAGAGTGGCGTTTGTCCGTAAATGGCCCCTTGCTCATGCTTGTCTCAACCTACCTCTGTATCTTCTTGTTGCCATTTTGACGTTTACAGTGCTTTCAATTCGCACTACTACACCCTAATTCTGAGCTCTTATTTTACATACCTTCCTGAAGGGACTTTGAAGGCTGGAGGCCGAACATAATAAGGATAGCCACTGGGAAATTTCGAACGGCTAGAAAACAACGTGCTTATGTGAAGAAATTCTAGGTTACCTTATAGAGCATATGATCCGGATACTTTGAATCTGAAAAGGGTGACTGTGACTAGCGAGTATTTTTTTTTTGTTCGTCTTGCCTTTCCTTTTATTCCGCTTGTGAAGCGTTGCATGCAATATGTCTGTTGAAGCGTCTATCTAGGAGGCATCCGCGTCGTCTTCCGCATGCATATAATTTCGGAACACGGAACCTCTCAAAGGACAACAACAAAAAATAGTGATATAATAATGAATAATATTATTAATAAATATAACGAAGTAGGTAATAACAATTACATTATTAGTAATGAACTGACTGGTGATAAACTGACGGCCAAAGTGAATCCCCCCATCCTTCATTGCTCGTTATTACGCCTCAGGCTAGGCTTAAAGCGCCATGATGACCAGTGGGCAGTTAGAGCACTTCACCGTGACTTGTTCAAGGACAAAAAGCACCAAGTCTGCGCGGGCCGTGCAGCACTGTCACCGCGAATGCAGGAAGAGCGGCATTTCTGAAGGCTTTTTTTTATTTATGCATTGTGTAACTGCTATGAGCACACTTTCAGGGTAGCGATTATGCCATAAATAACAATTCTTTGTGGTAGGAAGGCATCCACTATGCCATTGTTCGTCATAACGCAATTGGCATTGTGTGATGCCCGGTGGTTCCATTGCTGTTCTGGAACAATTTATTGCTTATAATAACGTGATTCCTTTCTCGACATGAAAGCTGCCTAGTGTTAATCTGAAATGAAGTTTTACGCACGAGGTTTCAAGCACCGGTGTAGCTTAGTGTTAAAATACTGGGCTGGCAGACAGGGGGTCCGGTTATGAATCCCAGTCGGGCCTCGGAGTTTTTGTTTACTTCGCTTGTGTCTTTTTCTTCACAGCGCGTGATTGCGAATACGGACACCGGCGACGGACAATTACGGCACGAAGGCCTTTGTGGTCTCATAATATCTTTCTCTGTAATACATTAGTAACTGTCTGAAAGCATGAAACACACTACCAAAGTTTATATATAGCTGCAGTGGCCATTACCCCAGGAATTACTGAACTGAATATTACGAACTCAAAAGATACCAATATAGTCATGCAAAAAAAACATACAGCTGCGCATTGGCAGTAGTTATGTGAAACTCAATCAGCTAACATGGGAAAGCGCCCACAACCATTCACCTTTTGGCACCCTAGAGTGGGTTTGCGAGTTTCTCAAATAGATAATTCCAACGACTCATGGAGGGTTAAAGTGAGTCAAAGCCGGTTACATTAAATAGGTGACAGCCATTACATTATATATTGGCAGCCTGATACATTGTATAGGTGAATAAAGATAACGAAATAACACGGGAAATAATGAGTTCATTCGCACTTGTGCTTTGATGAACAAAACTAAGGGGAAATAAGCGTTAGTCCAGCGTTCTTTAGGTCCAACAGACGAGTTAGAACGAATTAAACAAAAAAAGAAACATACAAAAGATATTCTAGCTAGACAAGATAATTTCTTCCTACTGAAGGTGCGATTCGAATTGCGAGAGTTAATCTTTCGTCACCTTTTCACCGGGCTATTTGTACCGATCCACTGCAGTCAATTCTAGGAAAGAAAAAAAAAATTGGTACCTGTCGCGAATGGTGTTACAGCTAGTGAGTTCCTTTGTCTGGTATCGTTACCTGACAAATATAGAAGGTGTGACGTGTCGATCTTGTATTGACCTTTCATTAGTCAAAAGAAACAACTTTAAATGGCATACACGAGAAGAAACAATTACTTAATTGAGCCAGCTTTGGCAAGCCGACCTGTTTTGAAGCCACCAATGTCGGCTGGCATTTCACTCCAAGATCAAGTACGCAACGATCCTTGCCAAACCTGCGGCGCGCTGCGGAATATGGCACGCAGTAGATTTCATTTTAAAACCTTTTGCTTGTTGCAGACCAGCCACCTCACGCAAGAAGTTCAGGAACGAAACACCACCGAGGCCACTGAAACCCAGCGCACGCTCTGACATTTAGATCATGTGTTGGACCGACGCGGTGGGCTTCACTCGTGTGATGATGCACCCTCCCTTTTTCTTCCTTCCTCCAGGCCCTGCCGAGACCGCAGCTTCAGCCATCAAATAAGGCGTCCAATGCTCAACGATTTGAACTAAAGCGGCTGTTGTCCTCCTGTCTACTTAATCGGGTGTATTTGTGCGTCGACACCTGGGGGTGTTTGTCAGCGCTGCTCGTAGCCCTGATGGTCGCGTGCGGAATACTCATGTTTTTTCTCCTGTGCCTAAACAATAGGTGAATTCTTCGCGTTTCGTAATTACGAAACATCACCGGTGGGGACCCACCTGCCCTAGCGATGCACCACAGTACACTGCGAAGAAGGTGATGGTCATGGAGACCTTGCCGAAGCGCAGAATCCTGGAGAGCACAGCGAACAGCGTCTGGCCGGGCACCACGACGCCGACGAGCACGTAAGCCACGTTGGCCATCTCTCCACCCTGGTAGTACATCTGTAGGGGCCCCACGCAGACGTGTTCCTCGAACGGTATGTCTCCCAGCGGCGTCAACCGGTTCAGGTAACTGGACAAGCTGCAGCTGAAGACGGCCGCTAGGTTGCCGCCCAGCGCTGCAATCGGTAACCATCAGACACGCGGAGCAGAGTATTTCACGGTTGGTTTGGTCGTGATTCGAAATGAACTTCTTACACGTAAATGTTTTATGTTGGGGTACACCACCGCTCCACTCACGCCTTTTTATCGAGGGTAATACGTTGTGAAATATACCCCCACTAATGACCAAGAAAAATTGGAAGAAAACAACAAATTGTTCAGTCACCACTAGTCACACCTATGACACCTATATATAGCTCCGCAGCATGCGGAGTGAAGCGACTCTAGCACGGAACGCACATTATTTAGCGCACTAACGGTGAGCTATTTATGTACGTTATTTTCTGTTGACGGTGATCATAGCTCGGTGGCACTTCAGCGTGTTCACTTTTAATAACTGGCGAGATAGCGAGAAGTGTGCGCTTTAGATATAACTTTAGAAATCGTCGCTCTTCCTATGAATGTGTTCTAACGGTCCGCACGAGGAAGCACGCCTCTGCAAGACGTTAATTGCCGCTCGTGCGGGTCTGCCCTTCATGCAGCTGGTTTCAACGTTTCACAGCTAGTTTGTAAGTTACAGAGAGCACAAATGCCGATTCACTCACTGCAGTGGCCGCCTTTACGAAAGGAGTGCACTGCTGAAAAATAAAGAAGCAACAATTGTGAGAGCTGCTGATTCTTACTGGTCCTGTGTATACTTGAGCGTTCATTTCGTGCGCGTTCCTTTGTGTCTGAGCAGCCCGCTATTAGTGAGAAGCTAGTACACAGTTCTTAGTTGGCGCTCGTCCTGTTGTATGCCCGTTTCGTGCGCCTGTTCTGCTTGAGCAGTGCGCGGCAAGTTTCGAGCTACATGCCGTTCTTCAAGTTAACTTAAATAAGCTGCTGCCGCCTTCATTCCTTCACCGTTGTTAAAATGCGCAGTAAATGTTCAAATACCTCTGTCAAGATACGTTTACCTTTCGGGTAAAAGCCTATTCTATGAAGGAAGGAATAGCCAATGCCTCCTTCTTTTCCTTTATAGCCAGTGCAAATGCGCACTCCTCAACAAAAACCATCGGTCCACCTTAGTTCGGGGAATGGACGTGATGTGTCGCCACATGTGGAGCTGCTTGCGCCACACGCGCGTTCGAGCACTTTCCGTCGTAGGTATATTGAACACATTTGTCTCAAATATTATACCTATGTCAGGTTTTTTATTTCTTTCGTGCACCTTGGTTTGTGGCTCAAAGCCTTGCCGATGCCACCTCACGGTGCCCTTGAAGTCAGTGCATGAAGTAGTGTCGTAATGATGCTTCCCCATTGTTTGCTTACATAGAGCCATGAACGCCGACATGCTATCTCAGAACAACGTAGCACTTACAGAGGCAGCGTGAGCGCCAACATTGTGAACACCAGGAATGTAAGACACTGCCCCACAGATCTCTACACAACCGAACAAAACAATACTTCGTACGATTTGCGTCGTGAGGCAGTACATAATAGGCTGTTTCCCTGCATAACCGCATAGCACAGGCCAAAGCTAGGCGATGGGCAAGAGCTGGAGATGGCAACGAACGGCTAGATTTGGGATATCTGGCTGGCATATCGTAAAAATAGGAAAGGTAATACATAAGCGCTATTTATTTGTTTGTTTATTTACTTCACTCTCAAGTTATCACTCATAGAGACTACAATTGAAGCCCTGAACCTATGATGCAGCCAACCGAGAAAGTAGCTGTTTAAAGCCATCGCGTAGAACGGGGTGGATTCCAGTGTTGAAATAGCCTGACTCACCATTTACTGAAGACAGGTGCAGGGCGATCGGCGGATAAGCGAAGACTGCGTAATCCAGGATGTACCCACCGAAGCTGCAAAAGCGCATGCACAATTAAAGTTGCTAGAAACTTGTATTTAGGAGCTTTCGTACGAAGAGCTTTACAAATTGTCGGGTAATTAAACTTGGAGCCTCTTCCAATACTTCACATTGCCAATAAAAAATTCCATTCAATTCCCCTTAATTACGAGACGGTATTATTGGTGACATGGGAAATATTGAATGTCTGAAATTAGGACTGCTTTTAGTTTTATTTACTTTTGTTTATTGTGGTTTTGTTGTTGATCCATTTTGTTTGGTTATTTGAAGGTTTATTTTTTAATAACGATTCTTTTTATCGAACTCCACATCGTTGCAGGTAGATGACACATCATATGCTACATACAAAACATAAAAAGAAATAGAGAACAAAACTAAATAGAATGATCCCGTAAAATGCATTCGCACAGAATAACTTAGAGACTGCTGCAAATTCTTGAATGATATGTGTATTCAGCACACCAAAGCCACCATATGATTATTAGACACGCTGCAGGGGAGGACTCAGAAATGTCGACCACCTGGGGTTCTTCTACGTGCATAGAAATATCAGCACGTGGGCCTTCAGCATTTTCGCCTCCACCAAAAATGCAGTCACCGCAGCCGGAATTCGATCCCACGACCTGCCGGTGAGCAGCCGAGTTCCTCAGCAACTAGAACAACACAGCGGGGCCTGCTGCCAATGCTATACAATAGCGTTAGTAGACAGAAAAGCAGCAGTAACAGCAGAGAAAGCCGATTTAGACGTAAATTACGGGGAGAACTTTCACCTGAACTAACGCAAAAGCTTCGAGTGTAACACTCGCTTTCCTAATGAGCAATGGGTGCGTTCTCTGCTCACCTACCTGGAGACCGTGAGTGCGATAATAATTGGCAGCCACCCGACGCGCAGCACCTCCCGGGAGATGGTGTTGCGTCGGGCCAGAACTATCCACATTGGCAGCAGGAGCAGACACAACGCGATCACCAGCGGCGCCAGATCTGCATATGGTCGTCAAGAGCACATTGTATGCAGAGGCGTGGGAAGTTGGGCCAGCCGGTGCTGCCTCGTGGTGCAACCGTGCATGAACAGACGGGAGCGCGAAAAAAATGAAAGTGAGCTGTATTATACGTAGATTAATTAGTAATATTGATACAGCAAGTCTTTTGAAGTTATGCACAACTGATGCACACAGCTTTCAGTGAATAACCGCTGGCCTTTGTTTGTAACACTTTCTTGTTCGCTAACTCTGGCACTTTTACACAAGTACAATCAACGTCAAGTGGCCCAATCCACCCTCAGCTTGTTCTGAGCGCACGAAAATGTTAGCATGGAGCGGTCACACTTGTGCCTGAAGTCTAAGCGTATAATACCACGCCTTGCACCATCAAAAACAATGGTGTCAGTATAGTAAACATTGGGATTAATCAATATCAACTATTTTCATAGCAAATGGGTCCGAAAGTTAACCGAACACCTGAAGCGTGGCGGAAATTACGTAAGCGTGTGCGCAGTGAACAAGCCTGGTGTATCTTGCACAAGAACGCACATAAACAGGCTTTTCTTTCGCAAGACTTGTCCGTCTCAATGCTGATGAATGTTGGCAGATCCCATGTACAGTGAAAATCGATGGTATGCGAAGCATGAATGAGAAAGGATGGTATGTCACTTTGGAATCAGCACAAAGTTACGAGGTTGAGGTAAATGACGCCGTACATGATTTCCGTGTCATCATTATCATGTTTGGTTGTGTAGTTTACCTTCGTCATCTATTCGCGTCACAGGATACCAAATTTAGTATATGTGGAGCTAGTGAAACAATCGCGAGGACGCTATGAGCATGGTATGTTGTCATGCTCCTACATGGCACGCGGGTCAGGATTATTATGCTCAGACCAGTCTTATATTTTATCATTCATTGACGTCATGTAACACCAAATTTGGTATGTGTGGAGCTGGCAAAACGATCGCGAGCGCATCATGAACGGCCCAATATACTCCAATGTGGCTTTGACGCAGGTGCACGCTGGCAAAGCGATGCTACGTTAGATAAATGCGAGCACTCTATAGTGAGACGCCAGGCGCGACCGGCGTCCGTCAGTGCGGCCCGACGGCAACCGGTGTAAACTGCGACATGCTGAGCTTCGCGCCGATGCGTTACCCAAAGAACACTGCGTCTCCCTCTTTTCGTGACGGAGGGATGCCGAACACGCTAAAACGCACATGCGTCACAGCGATGTTGCGCGGTGCGTGCCTGCGAGTACATCCGCAGGGCGCGGGTTCGTATCCCGGCTGCGGCGGCTGCATTTCCGATGGAGGCGGAAATGTTGTAGGCCCGTGTGCTCAGATTTCGGTGCACGTTAAAGAACCCCAGGTGGTCTAAATTTCCGGAGCCCTCCACTACGGCGTCTCTCATAATCATATAGTGGTTTTGGGACGTTAAACCCCACATATCAATCAATCAATGCCTGCGAGTACATGGCTGCCCCAGTGCCTGGTGGCGCAACGCCGGCGTGACGCGACGAAATGAGCGCCAGCGAGCACGCGCACCACTTCACGTCGAAATGTATAGGCGCCTTGACTCTGGCATGTAGTCATGTTTCCACAAGACACACATCTCCTGATTATTATGTTTGCACCAATCACAGACCTTCGCCATCCATTGACGTCCCGTAATACCAATTTGTTATAAGTGATTCTAATGAAACAGTCACCAGCACATCTTGAATGTGGCATGTAGTCATGTTTTTACACGACACGCATCTCATGATTATCATGTTTGCACCAGTCACATACCTTCGCCATCCATTCACGTACCATAATACCAAATTTGGTGTATGGGACGCTAGCGAAACGGCCGCGAGGGCATCATGAGCATGGCATATAGTCATCTTGTTACAAGACACACATGTCATGATTTTCATGTTACGGTCTGTCGCTTGTAATCGCCATGCAATCATGTCATACCATACAAGTTTTGCAAGAAGCCATGTGAACGAAACCACCGCAAGAGCTGCAGGACGATGAATTGTAAATCACGATATTCATGACATACACGTTATCATTTTTATGTTATGACTAGTAAGATATGTTCTTCATAAAGCATGTTATATATATATATATATATATATATATATATATATATATATATATATATATATATATAGATAGATAGAATAGATACATAGAGATAGATGATAGATAGATAGATAGATACGCTCAAAGTCACCGAATTTTGCTAAGAAATGCTTCGCATTTAAAGTGGGTCGTGGCAAAGACGCACACGGATGGTACAACATTAAAGACGAGTAGCCGGAGAGGAGGAAAAGCGTGGTCAGGTCGCCGAACGAAGCTGCGATGGCCGGCGCGATGTTGTCCGGGTTTTTCTCGCACTTGGTGGACAGCACCACCACCGTGGACATCACGAAGCCTGCGTGAACAAAAAATGCAGGAATCGAAAAAGCGCTCTTTCAGAGTACAGAACGTCAGCTTGCTATATTTCGCAGGGCAGCAAGTAGATGAATGTTCGTGAATGTTTATATTGCAAACAATGTGGTTAAAAAGAGCCTTTGTTGACATTTCCTTGTTCAAGGTAACTACTGTGCTCAGGTGAGTGTACTAAAAAGCAGTGAAGTGGATCTTTATGTCGTGCCTTTGGTTTCACCTTACAGCCTTGCGAAGCAATATATCTAAAAAAGTTCCCTTACAGGTTAACGTTTTTTCTTTCGTTTGTTCCGTGATATGAGGTTGTTCTCACAATTTCAAATCCAAGTGTCAAGTTTATATTCAGAAAAAAAAAAACATTTTTAATAAATGGCGTTTGTATATATATATATATATATATATATATATATATATATATATATATATATATATATGTAAGGTGTTTTAGGAAATTGGTTTTTCTGTAACGGCAGGCATCTTAAGACGGTTGAAGGTAATATTTGAAACAGTATTTAGGCAATAAAATCATTTGCTCTTCCACCTAACTGTCTAAATACTGCTGTAGTTAAACAGTTAGGTCAAAAGGCAGAATTTAAGCCCTTGATTGATTGATTAAAACTTTATTTTTGTCCTGAGAAGACGCAGGGGAGACCCCGCGCCCACCCGGTTAAGCCCTTTATCCAAAAGCCAATGGCCGCATTGAGATTTTGCAAGAACGACCTATTATATTAACTGCAATAAAATGAAAATATCCCCAATTCTGCGGAGAAACCAAAACCGAATCGCGAAAGTGTGAAACCAAAATGAGGGGCCGTTATATCAACCGTCTACTGACTCCATTGTGTGGGTGTGCGACCTGCACAGTCATTACAAGAGGCCCTTTTTCCGAAACATCATAGCAGCAATGGGTTCTTCACATTAAGGACTTCATTTTATCCAGTTCACCTAACTACTTGACTCAGCTAATTGAAAAGGTAAATAAAGTAAGTTTCTTAAGTACTGTTCTCAATTATGTATTCAACCCTTCTAAAATACCTTTGGCTGCAGAGAAGACTGTGAAGGCAATGGGCAAATAGCGTATTTTTTTACCTTTAAACAATACTGGACACATTTTTGAAACGCCCTGCATATATACGTGAAGTAATGCCAGATGAATCGAATCCACTAATTATGTGCACATGGATATTACAAAATAGTCACGCACAAATGACAGAACATGGATGATTGACACTTTACTTTATCATTTTGAGGAAGCGTGACCGTTTGTGCAGCGAGGAAGCTCACGATATACAAAGCCAGCCGATTCCAAGGCCTCTGTGTAAAATGTTCAAAATATCAACCTAGTTTGTTAAAAGCCGATTGTCGAAATGAATCCTAATACAGTTTTTCGTCCATATATTTCAGCTCCTGTTGTGCCTTCTAGTTTTATTGGTTCTAAACGCCTGCATTATACAATGCTGTGAGCATCGAAATAGAGCACCACAATGTATATGCATCTTTACATGTGCGTCGTCACAACAATATTCCAATCTCTTGATGCCTAAGAGTTCGCTCGCTTTTCAACTATTTGTTTATGTTATGTAACACACCATGGCTATTTGTAGTATTGTTACCTCAATACTTGTGTGTGCATTTCTAACTTGTCAACAATATTTTTAAATGTTTCACAATTGCATTACTTTTTTGTCCCCTGCTCCCGTAAGCAATTCTTCGGTGATTGAGGCCCTGAAAACAAATACGCAACTGAGAAAGAGACTGGCGTTGTTGACAGCGGCCAGCGCTCCAGCGTAGAGGACGGCGATGTGGGAAGGGTCCCAGAGACCGTCAATTGCCAGGCCTTTCAGGACGGCGAGTGAACATGTCAGGAAGGTTGCCACTGTCGGCTGGCACTGCATGTAAACATAGTTTGACAAAACAAGATGTAGCTCATTCAGACTCATTAAAAAATGGCAGATCTAACGTACAGAGGGAACCGGTAATATGCGAAGCACGAATGAGGAAGGTCAATGTCTCACTTTAAAACCAACCGAACATTACGAGACGGACGTAAATTATGCCGTACACGATTTCCATGCCTTCATTGCCATATTTAGACGTGTCATTTACTTTTGCCGTCTATTCACGTCACGTGCTACCAAATTAAGGTATATGTAGAGCTAGCTAAATGGTCCTGAGCGCACTATGAGCATCGCATGTAGTCAGGTTTTACATGACACGAATGTCATGATTATCATGTTTGGACGTGTCATTTACCTTCGTCGCCTATTCACGTCGCGTGATATAAACTTGGTATATGTGAAGTTAGCGAAACGACTGCGAGCGCACCTCGAGAGGGGAGTGTAGTCATGACTTTCATGACATGCATGTCATTACTTTCAGGTTAGGATGTTCGTCACGCAGTCAAGTGATACCATACCAGTTTCGCAATGTGTCATGTGAACGAAGCCACGACAAAAGCAGCCAACGCATGTAATCTACATCATGACATTACTATCAAGATTTTTATGCTATGACTAGTTATTTATGCTCGACATACACTCATAATATCCCATATCAGTTCTGGTATTGATACCAATATTCAAACGGCCAGGAGAGCTAAATGTCGTAGATAGATAGATAGATCGATAGATAGATAGATAGATAGATAAATACATAGATAGATAGATAAATAGATAGATAGATAGATAGATAGATAGATATAGATAGATAGATAGATAGATAGATAGATAGATAGATAGATAGATAGATAGATAGATAGATGTCACTGAAGTTCACTAAGAAATGCTTCCCATTAAAAAAATATTTCTCGTTTAGGGCTCACCAGGACCGGACTCACACAATTTTTTCCCAACCGGATTACCTTGAACTCAGGCTCATAGCCAGAACGGGGTATTGTGAGTTTGAATGGGTTGAATAAACTAATGAGTTGTCCAACCTCTGCACGTAAGAAGGCAATTAGTAAGGACCTCACTTTCCAGCCCGAAGGACGCCAAACGAACAAAATACGTCACTGTAGTTATGATTTCAATATTTTCACGCAATGTGGCAGTGTTTGATATGGCGTGAATCTCAGGGCGATGCACTTATGAACACAAGAAACTCAAAGCTACATAGTAGAGTAGGTATCGTGAGTGAAAATTTGACAACATTGTTTATACGATTGCTTTATGTGGTTGAGGCCTCGTGATAAGCGCACAAGCGGCACTACGCTGACATCAAGCGTGCTTGGGGAAATAAAGACGAAAGCGCTGGGTTCATTTGGCCTGAACCTTATACTTCAGTTGCCAGTTGCTGCTCCTCATGTATCTAGATTCGCTGAAGAAAATATTTTATGTGTATTCTTGCTGGACTAATCTCGACATACTAAGTTTTATATTGGTATGCATACTACACTCGTACACTTACTTCCCAATTTTTTTTCTATCGACTCATTGATTTCGAGCGGCGCTGGATACGAAATCCAACAGCAGCAATTCTTGGCACTAAGAGGTTGTCATCTCTTTTCTTTCACATTAGCGTTTACTTCCAGGGTTACTTTTCAACACAAAAACGTTCTATGCCGGGGTAGACAGAGATTCCAGTGACGTATTTACGCCACCAAAATGACGTAAAAAATATTCACAATTAGAAAACGAAGAAAGAAGTAGTTTCAATACCATTTCAACCCATGATCCATAGATCCAGGACAACATATTTTGGGCACGCTATCCCCTGTGTCATAATAACATGTTTTGTACGCTTTTAAAAATACATCACTTATATCTAACACTGTCCTCTCAAGGTGTTCTTGGTAACGCACAGTAAAGCCTCATGGTCACAGCATTCGCCTTTAGTTTCTTCAACGCGTCGTTTCCAAGCATTCATCCCATTTGGTGTGTCCTGTTGAAATGCGATTTTGTCAACGCCTTAACACACCGCCAGGTGGCGCCCTTACCGATACCTCACAAATAAATATTGGAAAAATAAAATATGGACAGTGTGCCGTAAATGGCAGAGAACTTAAGCTGAAAATTTACCTTTTTTTCATTAAGATAGAATTTATCGAAGTAGAGGCATTAGGCCAACATAAAAAAAAGGAAAAAAGGTTTTTTTTTTGTCGAGCCTGGTGGCATACTTGTCACCACCCCGTTATAAAGGGGACGCTCATAGCATCCATCCATCCATCCATCCACTAGAAAGATGAACGTGTTTCTTGAGCGCTCCCGATCGACTGTGCAGATGCTTCACAATAAACAAAAAACATTTCTCGTTTAAGGCTCACCTGGACCTGGACTCACAGAATTTTTTCCCAACTTGATTACCTTAGACTCAGGCTCATGGCCAGAACAGAGTGCTTCTGAATGTTTGAGCTTGCCTTTATAAATAATAAGGTAGCAGTTAAAATATTTGTCACTTAATACAATGTACGGCTTTCTCGGGGGAAAGTCACTAGGTATTTACTAGCTGGTGCGTGTGTGTGTGTGTTTGTTTCTTTTTGTTTTCTTTCTTGACACACCATGCGGGAGGTGCACGTACACTGAACATGCAAATATTGTAGTAGAGCTTAGATTTTCTCTTTTTCGTAGGACAGGAATTGCGTTTGGTAATTATCGATTGAGACAAGTCATAAGAAAATTTATGTCAAAAAGACTTTGTTAAACGGGTGTAAACTGTTCGAGATGCAGTGTGGGCTTGAAAATGGACTCAAGTGCAGAAGCGCATGGAGAAGAGGCTGACGCCAAGTGTAGGCAATGTGAAGTCGAGGGAAAAATAGAGAAAATGATGGTTGCCCAGAGTGAACTGCTGATGAGAATCACCTAGTTGGTGACTGTGTTGGCGACAGAGAAAGAGAAAAGGAAGACTATAGCAGAAAGGATCAAGTACGCCGTGGAGGCACTAGCGCAGGTGAACAAAGGAGCGGCCGACGGAAAGAACAGTAGGGCACCAGCAACCAGAACGGCGGAGAAGAAAGAGCCAGCAACTTTGGAAAAACAAGTTCAGCCGGTT